CCTGCTTGGTCTGGTATTCTGTGTTGTTGCTGGCGGAGCTCCTTTACTGCAATTCCACCCGATCTGCCATCTTGTTTGTTCTCCCAAGGCTGTGAATCTTTACGGGACCAGAAAGCCTCATCTTTCCCTTGCAGAATTGCTGGTAGTTCCAAACTGCTAATATTGAGGTTAGCAGCCCGACTTATAACCATTATGCACCAGAGCTCCTTCTATAGTCACCATTTATATTATTGGAAAAAAGTATTTGCAGTGAGGAAGTCAGTGGTCTTACAAAATACTTTCATGCAGTCTTCAGCATTTCTATCACCAGTGCCATATTTTCTAATTACTTTTCCTTCATCTTTGTTTCCAACTTTTGCATTTCAATCACCAGTAATTATCAATTCATCTTGATTGTATTTTTATCAGTTTCAGACTGATGAAGTCTATAGATGTCTTCAATTTCATTAATGTCTTTAGTGTTTGGTACCTGAATTCCTTGTTGTTGTTAAGTGCAGTCAAGTCTGTTCTGATTCATACTGACCCTGAATAGGGTTTCTAAGACATGTGAATATTATCCTGTCACAGACAGCATTATACTTAACGCTAGATTTTGAAGTGCTCTTTTGACAATGAACAATTTACCTTCAATTTGTTGTTTCTGGTATAGTAGACCATATGATAGATTCAAAGTGGCCAGTACCAGTCCATTTTAGCTCACTGATGCCTAGGATATAGATCTATAGCGTTCATTTTTGACTGCTTCCAATTTTCCTAGATGCATACGTTGTACATTCCATATTCCAATAAGTAATGGATGTGTGCAAATTTTTTTTCTCATTTTGTGTATACTGCATCAGCAAATTAAGGTCGTGAAAGTTTTGCTCTATTCACATCATTAAGGTCAGCTGTACTTTGAGGAGGAGGTCTTTCCCAATCATGTTTTGAATACCTTCCAACCTGAAGGGCTCATCATCTGGCCCTATATCTAACGATGTCCTGCTGCTATTCATAAGGTTTTTGGTGGAAAATCATTCAAAATTGGTTCTCTTTCCTTCATCCCAGTCTGTCTTCACCTGGAAGCTCTGCTGAAACCTGCATCATGGGTGACCCTACTTGTATTTAAAATACCAGTGGTATAGCTTTCAGCATTGTAGCCACACACTCGTCACCAGCATGGCAAACTGGCAGATGAGTGGAGGACCAGAAGTAGACTTTAAAACCAGAGGTAGATGTTAAGTCTTTAGGAATCTACAGAAAAGACAGATAAATGGTATCCAGGTTGCATTGGTTAACTCATTTACTTTTCATTCACAATTGTGTCATTAAAAAAAAACAACCGTTTCTGTCACATCAATTCAGACTCATGGGAACCCCATGTATATCATAATAGGTGAGTGTTTTCAGTGGCTGATTTTTCAGAAACAAATCACGAGGTCTTTCTTTCATGGCACCTTTGGATAGACTAAAACCTCCAACCTTTTCATTAGAGGCAAATGCATTAACTGTTTGTGGCACTAAATAGATTATCAGTATTTGTGCTACTGAGAGAATCCTGTAGTGTACTAGAAAGGAAGGGAAGAATCATTGAGCCTTTTATCTGTCATTGAATCTTAACTCTGCCTCCATTAGCTGTATGACTTGAGTGAATAAATTACCTATGTATACAACCTTGGAACAACAACTGTTCTGTGTGTAGTTACTTGGACAGAGTCACAAAACGAATGAGTATGGCAGGAAGAGTGGAATATATATATGATTATATATTCCACAAATACATGAGAGTTTGAAAGAGGATAATTGTACATGAGTAACCATAGGGAGGAAGCAGGACAACTGTTGTTGCATGGAGGGGATTGCAGTCATTGAGATGAAACAAAGCATATGGTTTGTTGAAGGTAAAACTGGTGATCTTGTCTGTGTACCTTCACTCAGTTTGCATAAAGTGTTACTGTTAAGTGCCATCAAGTTGGTTCTGACCCATAGTGATCCTGTATAGGGTTCCCAAGGAGCAGCTGTTGAGCTTGAACCTGCAACCTTGTAATTCAAACCAAATTAGCCCACAGCACCACACCAGAACTCCTAAAATAATAATAATAAATATAATGCCTGGTGCCTGGCAAATAACATAGTACTTATAGTGAAACTGGTGACAGCCAGAACTAGATGGGTCTGCTTTGTTTTTGTGGGTCTTAAAAGTTTTCCACCTTTGAGTGGGTGCAGTCTTACAATTGTATTTTTATCATTTATTTGAATTTTCTTTCTTGGAAAAGTTTCGCCTTACATAGGTTCTGGCTTTAGCAGGGTTTACTTGTCAGTGTTTACATAAGTGTTAGCCACTGCTTTTATTATCCAACTGTCAAACATGTGTCAGTACATGATCTTGCCCTAGAGGAATGTGGTAAACTTAGTGAAGGCTAGACTCTGTTTACTTCTCTTCTTTCATTCTGATTGTATTTTTCAATATCACTTATATTGACTCCCAAGGGAATAAACTGAAAGTTCATAGTTTACTCTCAATCTTTAATATGATCTGATATTTAAAGAAATGATTGATAAAAATATAATATTTTAAGACCATTTAAATTTTTGTTTTATAGATGTTTGATTACTACTAATGGGTGTGAGCAAGTTAGATGTTTTGTACCGGAGACTTTTCCTTACAAAGCTTTTTATCAGAGGATGGGGAAGGCCAGAGGATCTCAAAAGGTAACCTTTATTTTTTATTCCCCTGAATACTTGTTCTAATTTTGTTGCTTTAGTAATTATTAATTTTTTTTCAATTATGAAAGCCTCTACTCACAAAGATTATATTGCAAATAAAGCATTCAAATATTTAACAAAATTACTTCCTTTCCTCTTAATCTTTTATAAATCATTCATACTTTAAAACAAAAACTCTCAGAAACATAAACTAGATTTTTAGCTTCAAAAGTTATTAAGCTGATTAGAGTTGTTCATGTTTCCAAGGACTGAGTTTTCTTTGGTAACCAGAATTGACAGTGTCTATAAAGCTGTCTCTCGTACTTTGTCTCTCATACTTCGGACATACTGTCAGGAGGGAGCAATCACTGAAGAAGGATATCATATTTGGCAAGGTAGAAGGTCAGAGAAAAAGAGGAAGACCCTTAATGAGATGGATTGGCCAAGTGGCAGCATCAATGGACTCAAGTGTGGCAACAGTAGTGAGGTTGGCCCAGGATCAGACAGTGTTTCGTTCTGCTGTGCATAAGGTCAATATGGGTCGGTACCGACTCAATGGCACCTAACAACAACAACAACATAAAGCTGTCAATTATAGAGATCAGCTAAAGAACAGATTTCATACGTTAAAACACTAAAGACCGAAGACCAGAAGAGTTGTGGGATGACATCAAGAACATCGTACAGGGAGAAAGCAAAAAGTCAAGAAGACAAGAAAGAAGGAAAAGATCAAAATGGATGTCAGAAGAGACTCTGAAACTTCCTTTCAAAGGTCAGCTCAAGAAGACAGAGTCAAATATTACAACAAAATGTGCAGAGATCTGCAGTCAGAAAACCAAAAGGGAAGAACACACTCAGCATTTCTCAAGCTGGGGGAACTGAAGAAAAAATTCAAGTTTTAACTTTATTTACTGAAGGATGCTCTGGGCAAATTATTGAATGATGCAGAAATCATCAAAAGAAGATTGAAGGAATACAGGGGAGAACAAACAAGATGGCGGCTCAGGTGAAGTCCAGTGAGGAGCTCCACCGGCAACATCACAGAATACCGGACCAAGCAGGCTCAGGGAATGGTGCCAGAACTCTGAACCACATATAAAGGAATATTTAGAAGGTTGGAAGGCTTACAACTAGGGGAATTTGTAGCAGAAGCAAGCAATCCATTGCTTTCTAATTAAAGATGCTCAGCTGCTCCCATAGCTGCCATCTTGGGTGAGACCACGTCGGGGAAGGATCTGGGCAGCCACGATGCCTGACAGAACTGTGGAGATAAAGGTGTGGCCATTATTTATTTATTTATTTATTTTGGTATCTATTCATTGGTCCCTCGCTATCTGCACACCTCCATTCTGGTGACTATACGGGTGCCTGAGGGGGCGGACATCCCAGCCCCAACTCTCGGAGGATTCTACAATGCATGTGCACAGATCTCCTCAAAATTTAAAGAGACAGTTTCCACCAAATGGCCACAGCTGGACCTGGCTGTTTATAACTAGAAAAAAAGTCCTGAGTGGGGATTGTGGAGCAGGACAGGCAGACTAAAATGTAAATAGGCCAAAAATTAAATCCTAAATTACATCAAAACAACGAACAGTGGCATCTTGAAATTTCCCAGCAAGAAGAGTGAAAAGGGAAGCCCATATCCTGATCACATCGACATAGAGGCAATCAGAAAGCATACAAAATACCAAAATACACACCCATCTAAGTATTAAGGCCACAGATAATTCCTGAATATGCCTGAAAAACAGAAGCAGATGACCATATCTGCACATGTCCAGAAATGAGATAAAGTGACTGAGGCAAATGAGCTGGAAGTAGACCTACATACCATACTGGAAAATCAGTAGGCTTTGGAAATGCCCGAGAAGTTATTCAGAAAAAATGATTATAAAATGTATCAAAACACTATACAGTGGAATTGAGAAAAATAAGGAAGAAGTCAGGAAATCACTACAGGAACAATCAAATAAGATAGATACAGCATTGGAAACAATTCAAAACCTACAGAAAGAGGTTCAGATGACTAATAACAAAATAACAGAAATAGACAATACACTGAAAGGGCAAAAGAGTAGAATTGAAGAGATAGAAGCCAGAACTAGTGAGCTAGAAGATAAATCTCTCAACACTACTAAGATAGAAGAACAAATACAAAAAAGGATAAAAAAAAATCCAAAGAAAGCTTAAGATTCATGTTGGATAACATGAAGAGGAATAACATAAGAATTATTGGCATTCCAGAACAGGAACAATCACACAAGCCCACAGAGGAGATAGTTGGAAGAGCTTCTGGAAGAAAATTTTCCTAACATCATGAAAAGTGAAAAGATAAGTATTCAAGAAGCTCAAAGAACCCCAAGATGGATAGACCCTAAAAGACAATCACCAAGACATATAATAATCAAGCTCTCCAAAATCAAAGATAAGGACAGAATCCTGAAAGCAGCTAGGAAAAAGAGAAGTGTAACATACAAAGGCAAAGCAAATCAGATTAAGTTCAGATCTCTCAACAGAAACCATGCAGGCAAGAAGGCATTGGTGAGACATATATAAAACCCTGAAAGAAAAAAATTGCTACCCAAGAATCCTCTACCCAGCAAAGCTGTCAATTAAATACGATGGTGTAATCGAAACATTCCAGGATAAACAGAAGCTAAGGGAAAAGCCAACCCTGCTATGAAAAACATGCTAAAGGACGTTCTATGGACTGAGAACCAACAAGAACAGACAACAACTACAGAATGATGTATGTGGCAGCATCACCCTGAACTCAACCAAAAATGGAAGAGTCAAGAACAGAATAAAATGATAAGAACAGAGGATCTGGGAGGTAAGTCTATGATCAAAACAATTACAATATGAAAGAAGGTAAACACAGAGGAACAGAGATTCAGGTGGTGGGAAGGTCAGGTAGATTACAGGATAAAATGTTGTTGTTGTGTGCTGTGGAGTCGGTTCCGACTCATAGCGACCCTGTACAGACAGAGTTTCCAAGGCTGTAAATCTTTACGAGAGCAGAAAGCCTCATCTTTTTCCTACGGAACAGCTGGTAGTTTCAAACTGCTGACCTTGCAGTTCGCAGACTGATTCGTAATGACTATGCTACCAGAGCTCCTTACAGGATAAAATAGACTGTCTTAAATTGAGGGAAGAACTAATGGAATATAAGGTAACCAAAATGGGGTTAGGGTGGGGTTTTGTGTGGGTGTTGGGGAGGGCAATACAATATGGGGGGAGGAGGCGGAAGAACAAGATAGATAGGGGAACACTGAGGCAGGTTTGCATGGGATACATGGGACAGAGGTAAATAGTGATGCATACTCAACCTTGGAACAACAGGGCTCTGGGATACAGGGATCTAGGTGTAGCTAGAAGAGGGGAAATAATACTAAAATGCTTGACTATCTTATGAATATTAGTTTCCCTTGCCTATTATTATAAAATATACGCTTGAGTGGGATAGAAAGGAATGTTTAGAAACATGATTAGAGAAAACTTGTAAGCCTGTCTTGAGCCTATAACTGATTATAATACCTAAAAGGGGTTCTAGAACTTGCTCAGTGAAATAGACCTCTTGCAAAGCCTTTGTAGCATATAGGAACTTAGGTGGAAGGAATCCTGAGTCCCATCCAAAACCTTATGAGGTGGGACATTTCCACTAGAAAGGACAAGCAGACCAGCCTGGAACAGCTACAGAGACAGAAGATACATCTTCAAAGAAAGATCATCAAGAAAACACAAAACGAAAATGTCAGCATAACTGGCTACTACAAGAATAAGCAAGCTGTTTGCTGGGAAGCCATCAAGGCAAGTAATCAAGTGCCTTCAGGACAAACTCCCCTCTAAGACTGAAACTCAAAGGGAACACACAAACAAGCATGTAAGCTTGCTGGCTGGCAACCACATTGGTCTACTGGTGAGTGGAAGAGGGAGAAAGGCAGCAATGAAGAAATGGGCTAAGTTCAACCACAGCCCATTGAATCCTGTGGACCTGGAGATGAGAGAGAGAAGAGTAAGGGCTGGTTGGTCCAAAGTGTGGTGAGAAATGACGACACTTTAGCCCATGTACAAGGACATAGCCACAGACGGCTAGAGCTGAGAGTGAAGCATCCAGCTGATGTGAAGTGAGGGGAGATGCACAAGAACACTGAAACTTGCAGACAGTACCCTTTTGACCTAGCCTCGATGGCTCGATAATCAGAACTCGACTAAAGGAAGATTGCAAAAAAAAAAAAATTATTATATATGCCTGAGTGGGTTTCTTTTGTTTGTTTGTTTTTAAAAAGCTAAAAGTGAGTAAAGAGAAATACTGTTAACTGATGGTACATGTTGTTGTTGTTGTTAAGTGCCGTCGAGTCGGTTCCGACCCATAGCGACCCTGTACAGGGTTTCCGAGGATGTAAATCCTTACGGGAGTAGAAAGCCTCATCTTTCTCCTGCAGAACGGCTGGTAGTTTCGAACCGCTGACCTTAAGGTTCGCAGCCCAATTCGTAACCACTACAGGCACATGGAGGGGATTATAATCATTGTAATGAAACAAGGTGTATGATTTATTGAATGTAAAACTGATGATATGTCCTGTAAGCTTTCACTCAATCCACAATAAAAAACCTTAAATTAAAACATAATAATACAGAAGAAGATCGAAGGAATACAAAGAATCCCTGTTCCAAAAGGAAATGATTGATGTTCAGCTGTTTCAAAGGTAGCATATGATCAAGAGCCAATGATACTGAAGAAAGAATTTAAGGTGCACTGAAGAAATTGGCAAAGAACAAGTCTCCAGGAATTGATGGAATAAAAATTGAAATCTTTCAAGAAGGTGAGGTGGCAATGGAGGCATTCACTCATCTGTGCCAAGAAATTTGGAAGACAACTATCTGGCCAACTGATAGGAAGACATCCGTATTTGTGCCCATTCCAAAGAGATGTGACTCAATGGAATGTGGAAATCATTGGACAGTATCTTTGATATCCCATGCTAGTAAAGTTTTACTAAAGATAATACAGAAATGGCTGCAATCATACATTGACAGAGAACTTGCAGAGTTTCAAGCTGAATTCAGAAGAGGCCGTGGAACAAGGGATATCATTGCTGATATCCGATTGATCTTGGTTGAAATTGGAGAACACCAGAACCAGAAAATGTTCACCTGTGCGTTATTGACAATGCAAAGGCTTTCGATTGTGTGTAT